ACTCTGCCCCCAAATTCCAGAGTGACTACCACCCTCTTTGTCTCCCTAAAGCCCCTGTAAGGAAACTCTGTCTGCCTGCATGCCATTCTGACCTTCTCTGAGTGTCACTTGGCATCCCTCTCAGGACACTCTCCTCTCCTCTCCTCTCCTCTCCCTCTTCTCCTTTTTCCCTCCCTTTCAACTCCTTTTTGAAAAAATTTTAAAATTTACTTATAAAAATACGTGTGTGTGTGTGTGTGTGTGTGTGTGTGTGTGTGTACCTTCAAATTAGACCTGAGTGGTACCGGAGGAGATTGCCCCTCCTTCTCCAGCAGAGCATCTGATGGATTGGAACTGCAAGTCTCTGGGACTGCAGTGCAGCTTCTTGCCACTAGGCCGCCAGAGCTCCCTTGAACTCCTTTTTCTATCTAACAGCCTTGGCCCACACTCCTGGCCTAGTGCTCTGGGAGGCCTCGGCCTACAATGGGATTATTCTGAGCAAACCCAGCTATGGCTTTTTTTCTTCCCCCCCCTTTTTTCTTATTTTATTGGGAAAAACATATTGGGGGTACAAGGAGGTGAGGGTTGGGGGCAGAAGGGTGAGGATGGGCAGGGATGCAGTTGCAGAGCTGCACAATTTGGTTGGTGGGGGGAGCAGGTGAAAGAAATGAAAAGGATCCAATGGGGACCAGATGCTACAGGCAGATGGAAAGCATTTTCCAATGGTATTTAAACGAACTGTCTTATTGATTTGGGAACTGGGTGCAGACTCTCTGGATTCTTCATGCTGAAGAGGGGCGTTGATGTGAAGGGGGGAAGGGAGGACGCTTTATCACCTTACTGGTGGTCTTGGGTTAAAGCTGCTTGCCTTCTTGTTCTGTTAGAAGATATTTTCCTATCATTTGCTCCCCTCTGGACTGCAAAGTGTTTTCCCAGGTGGGTCCAGTGGGGATGGCTGGTTGAACCCAGAGGCTCCATCCTCCTTTGCTTCCTTAGTTGGCAGTTGTATTTCCTTTTTGTCACTGGCACTGGGTTCAAGGTCAGGTCTGGAGTAAAACTCAGTGTTAAGGTTACCTATAGGAAAGGGAGCAAACCATCCATCCTGGGCGAGGGATTCCATAGGTTCTGGCTGTGGAAGCTTCATGGAGCTGCAGCAGTGGTGCGGCGAGGTGCGGGCTCTGCGGGAGGGTGTTGGGAGCTGCAAGACTCACCCATTCCTCCTTGGGAATCCTTGAATTCCCTGTTGTTGAGCCTTGATCTTCACTGAAGACCAGTCATCAACTGTTTAACTGTTCAATTATCAATAAACAGAGGTCTGTAGAAGGCCATAGTGGCCCTGCTCCAAGTGGTCCGCTGCTCCCGCAGGTCACCACGTTGTCTCCGCCTCCGCCGTCATCTTGGATCTCTACCCAGCTATGGCTTTTCTAAGGTTTCCCAGTCTGTACGCTAAAATCAACCATTCTAAGGAACCCAGGCTCTTCCAAGGGACCCTGAAACCACTGTACACATGCTTGGGCGAGGTCTCCTCTTTGGGACTCTCCCTCCTGGCTTAATTCTTTACCTGGGAGACGGGAGCAAAGCAGAGCATCGGCCCCTCGTTAACATCGGGAACGTGAGTCCTGAGGACACCTGTGGATGTTGTTAGATGCTGACCCACAGTACGCGCTAGATCCATGCAGATCCGGCACCGTCCTCACAGCCTTTGCTGCGTTTAAGCTGCTGTGTCAGCTCTCATTACTGAGAGCAGATGGTGTTTTGTTTTCTTTACAGAGGACAGTTGAGATAAACTAAGAGATAGAAAATGGTCACAGACATTGCCCAAGGCGGGGGGGTGGGGTGGTGGTGGTGGTGGTGAGGAAGAAGGACCCTTAACTACTCTCAGTAAATTCATGCTTATACTAGAGCAAGGAGTGGGAGTTAGATGGGGGCAGAGTTTAGACATTGTGCAGATGTAAAGACTAGGCCCTTCAAGTCAGGGCTCTTCCTGTTGTGTGTTTTGGTTTTCTCTTTGTTTTTGTTATTGTTGTTATGTATCCTCAAATCAGATCCGACTGGCACAGGAGGAGATTGCCCCTCCTTCTCCAGCAGAGAATTGGGTAGATTCGAACCATGTGCCTTTGGGATTGCAACATAGCTTCTTGCCAGTAGGCCACCAGAGCTCCCTCTGGTTTTGGTTTTTTGAGTAGCTTTCTGTGGAGAAGATGAGGGGAGAGGAGGAAGGATGGCTGGGGCAGTGGGGGAGGGGGAATGCTGTAAGAGCGAAAACACTGCAACAACGTTGGAAGGAAGTTGTTTTTTTTTAAGTGAACATGACAATAATTTCTTTTTAGTTCTCCTTTTCCTCTTCTCAGCTCCGCTAACCCTCCAACGCCTATCCTTGCATAACCCTGTCCTTTGCTTTTTACATCAATAAGGTTAGAAGAATTGATGCCTTTGAGCTGTGGTGCTGGAGAAGAGTATTGAATGTACCATGGACTACCAAGAAAACAAACAGATTCATCCTGGAGAGGGTTAAACCGGGCTGCTCTTTGGAGGCAAGGATTCTGGGGCTTCGTCTGACATACTTTGGGCATGTTGTAAGGAGGGACAGGTCCTTGGAGAGGGACATCATGCTTGGGAGGGTGGAGGGACGGCTCAAGAGGGGAAGACCCTCTATGAGAAGGATTGATTCAGTGACTGGGGTAATCGGGATGGGTGTGTCAGAGGCAGTGCGATTGGCACAGAATAGAGCAGGGTTTCGGGCTGTTGTACATAGGGTCGCTATGAGTCGCAAACGGCTCGACGGCACATAACAACAACAACTCTGGCACGGTGTCTTGCTTTTCTGGGGCATTCTCTTGCCTATGGGTCTTTCTGGTTTTCTTCAGACCCACTTCCTCCTCCTCATGTCACAGGCCATGAGAAGGGTGGGTGCAACACTGGGATCTCAGTCCCCACCTGAGTCTCACCTGGGCAGGATCTCTGGGGACAGGGCATGCAGACTGGCCCTTAGTAGGCCCAAGGGCTGCTCACAGCTGCTGGACAGAACACCCCTAAAAGCAAGGTGCTGGGGATCACAGCCAGAGGCCAGGCTCTGCCTCTCCACTCAGTCACCCTCAGAACAAGGTGCTGGGCTCATCAGCATAGGGCGCATCCCGCCACCTGGGGACCTGTCTACTCCGTTCCCAGATCAGATGCTGCCCAGCAGGACAAGGACCCGCTTCCCTGTCACCCGGGTGCAGGCCTGGCCTTGCTGAGGTGCGCACCAGCCATTCTACACGGTGCTGGAGTGGCCACTGTGCCAGCACTGAAGGGAGGGGACAGGGGGACAGTGGTGTAGGCTGCTGCCTCTTCACCCCCAAGACCCCAAAGCCAAGGAGGCCGGCTCCCAGGGAAGGTGGGCTGGTCGGCTGGGGGCTACCCGCTCCTGGGATATCGTGGAGGCTATTTGGGGCTGAGGTGCTGTCGAGCACATAAGAGGGGCACACGTCAGATGTGGGAGATGCTCTGAAAAAAAGACAATGGGAGGCTTGACTGTTTTATTGTTGTTTATATTGCTCCTCGTGGAATCCCTGCAGAGGGACAGAAGGCGCTTAAGGCAGACACCCAGCTTGTGTGGGTGACATGAAGAAAGGCCAGTGAGGGGAGGAGGCTCCCAGGACAGAGAGCGAGGCCTGGAGATGCCCCCAAGTCACCCAAACACACCCAAATCCTGACCCTGAAGACCCAGCACTGAGGTTACCATGGAGATTATGCATCTACAAGGCGCTAAAGGCTCCTTCTCCTCTTTCCCCTTCCCCCTCCTGGGCCCGAAGACACCAGGCTGCATCAGGCCAGGGAGCTCCCTGTCCTTCTGGAAGGTTCTAAAAGGCCATGTGAGTTTACATTAGTACCTTCTGTGTGCGTGAGGGAGAAAAAAATTCTTTAGAACCAAATATACTGCAGTATACACATTCATAAGAAACGGTCTAATAACAGAGCACAGAACTATGGGTATGAACCTATTTCCAAAAAGAGAAACTGACGTTTCCTAAGCTGGCGCTGGCAAAGACCGGAGCGGCCCTTCCTGGCGGGGGCTTCGGGCCAGGACTATTGCACGGTGCTGACCCCGGGCAGCAGCTGTTCGCACCCACTGGACACGAGCCACGCGTGGCATCCAGGGCTATGAGGGTCCTCATCCCCCAGACTGACCAGTTCCAGACGGGGTTCGCCAGGGCCGGGCAGCTCCGGGAGTGCGCACTCACAGGCAGGCATTCGGAAGTGGCACACAAATGGCAGGGGGGCTGCTGCTGGTGACCTGTCCGCCCGCCGGGAAGGCTGGAGACAAACGCATTCCCCTCGGCTTGACGGGGACTGTGAGTTGGACAAAACCCCAGATCCTTCTGGTGGTGACAGAACCCCTGGTTTTGATTTTCTATGGACAAAACTGTCCTGGCATGGTGGGCCGTTTCTGGGGTCATCCTCAGAGCCAGGTGGGGCCAGGGCTTTGGGCTGGCCGGGGCCACAGGGACAGCAGCTGCTTCCCAAGTCCTGTGGGGTCTGGAGACTGTGAGCACCAACTGAGTCCACAGAAGGTTGCGGAGGGTCAGACGAGGGCCTCTGCTCAGACCCTGAGGGGCTGGAACTTCGCGGAAGCCAAGGGGCAAGGCGGGGACGAGCCGTCATGTCCTCTGCAGGCTCGGCCGTGGCCTTTCTCTCACTTGTGGAGAAACTTCGGGCAGGGCACCCAGGGCTCCCGTGCAAGCGGCCCGGTTTGGAAGCTGCGTGCACCTGGGCAGTGGGTGCGGGAGGTACGCAGGCAGGCCCTCCTCCTGGGCAGACCCCGCGGAGGTGGCCGGGCAGCACGGGGCGTGGAGCTGAGTGCCACGATGTGACAGTCCTTGCGGGACACTCCCTCCCGTGAGCAGCTCCCCTCTGTGAGTGCATCTGGGCAGAGGTGGAGGCAGAGTGAACACTGCCCGGGAGAGGCCGGGGGGTGCACAAGGGGTGAAGAGGGGTGGGCTTGGCCGGCCAGTCCCTGGTGGCGGGGCCCCAGGCCTGCATCAGATGTCTGCCAGGGTGTGGCTGGGGTCGCTGCGTTCACGCTTCACTGGGGGTTCACTCAGGCAGCGCGTGTCCGAGTGGGCCTCGCTTCCCTGATCGTCCCCGATGTCATCTGCGGCGTCCACGTCGGGATGGGGAGGGGGTGAGACAGGACAGGCTCAGAGCTGCCCAGCCTCGAGCAAAGAAGCAGCTGGGCCCTGCTGCCCTGGAGGCCTGGGTGTGGCCTGGCCCCAGTGACCCTGCCCCATCTCGCCTTCCTGCCGCCCCAAAGCCCCTGCTGCATGTGACAGGCCCTCTGCTGGGCAGCTGGGGTGCTGGCCTCTGGGCAGGGCCAGGGCTGTTCCTGGGCCCCTCTGCAGGGCAAGGAAAGGCCTGGACCCTCTTGGGCCCACTGGTCCCCTCCTCCTCCCCACCCGTGCAGAAGGAGGGTCCTCTCACAGTGTGGAGGGTTGGGGAAGCAGGACCCCAGGTCAGGAGGGTGCAGTCCAGCTGAAGGAACAGAGTTCCTGCTGTCTGGGGGCCCAGCACCTTCCACCTCGTTTCAAGGCTGTGCACGTTTCCACCATCTTATAACTATTTGCTCTCAGGTCAGCCATGACCATGGCTACCCACGTCTGTCACACGTCACAGCAGAACCATGTTCCAGAGGGCTTTCAATGACCGACTATTTATGGAAGTAGATGGCCAGGCCTTTCTTCAGAGGCACGCCAGGGTGGACATGAACGACCAACCTTTCCCCTGTCAGCAGGACGTGTTAACTATCTGCACTCCCTGTGTTCATCGTGGGATGGGAAACCTGGGCCTAGATCCTAGAGTCACCCGTGGTGGACCCGGGGACATACCCACCTTTGTCCAGCAGCGTCAGTGACAGGGAGGTCAGGTCGTTGAACTGAAAGAGAGAAGCTGAACTCAGAGGCAGCGTGGAGGGCTGGCGGGTCACTTCAAGGGGGTCCCCAGGGGTGCTCTCGCTTACAGCATGTAGGGAGGTTCCTGTCTGGGGTGGAATCTGGGTTCTACTGAGAAGCTGGATGTAGTGGGGTGTTTGGGGTTCCCTCTAAGTCTCCTTTCCAGGGGTGCTGACTGCTCAGGGCAGCCATCGGTGTGAGCAGCTTGTGACGGGAACCCCTCCCTGGGTATCACTGGATCTATAACAGCGGGGCCAGGTTGGGGGCAGAGCCCAGTGCCTATGCCAGCTTGCTGGGCAGAGCATGTCTCCCCATAGGCCTCCCCGTAGGCCTGTTGCAGGGCCCCTCACTGCTCCCACACAGGCTTGGGAGCCCCAAACACTCAGGCAGCCCCACAAGACCCAGCAGTTCCAGCTGTGGCACACACCAGAGAGAAGGGAAACATGGGCCCCCGGCTGGGCCGAGCACTAGTGTCCATGGCAGTGCTGCTCCGGCGGTCAGGCGGGACAGGGCCAGCGCCCACCCACAGGCCACAGTGCCCATCCA